GTGGGGCGGGAACGTACAATTTAGGCTTCGGGGATTTGTAGTTCACTGAATCATATTCTGTCTGTTCTATCCGTACCCTTTCCATCATTAATCCGACAGAGGGTAGAGAACTTTGAAATGATAATTGCTGACGGTTAATTTTTTTTTTGGAAGGGCAAATTCGAGGTTTGGGCCCTGTTACGATTTTTCTGGAAAAATCGAATTCGATCAACGGCGCATCTCAAGCTCCCCAATAGTACGGGGGGTTCCAGCTTTTCCCATCCTGATTTTGAACTACATGCCCTTTCAAGTAGGAGACCTCAGCGGAAGAGGAGGCTGCCAAAGAAGGAGGGCTTCACTGCATTGATTGGGGAAGATAGCCACTAGGCAGGGATTGTCCCACAGAACCAAAAACTTTGTAATTCAGTGGGCACGAAGATCTTTGTAATCGCGCCCAGATGCTCCTTCCCGGTTGTTTCTGCAATCAGGAGTACGGTACGCTTTTTTTACGACCCTTTTCGCGTCCGTTTCCTCTCCTGTTCCATTCTCATGACCGTCAACCCCAGTGGTTTTTCTGAGCTACTCAAGAGGTCACCTCAAAAAATGTACTCTCGTTATCTGGTTTTTTGTACTGCCACTACTTTCCTCTCGGTTTTGCAGCTGGGGGTCGTCCCATGTACATTTTTTTGGTGGTTCCATCCTCTTATCAATTAATCGTCTTCAAAAATAACGAACGACCTGTTCGGATGGGCTACTCTGATACCAAAAAATCCCGTTCAAAATTTATTTTGAGGAATACAGTCGGCGCATTCTTTCGATAGCAATATCGATTGAAAGTCAAGTGCATGGCGTATCCCAGGACGACTGATTAGCACGTACATTGAATTCTTTTTCCTATAATAGTGATTGAAGTGTTCTTTCCCATGTAGTCGGGTTATATGTCTTATCGACATGCAGGAAACTGGGCCATCAGGGGCGGTACGTGAGCTCGGCCATCTGCAGAATTCTCATCGGCTCCATTTGTGTTGCTTCCAAGAGGGGGAAAAAGAGACGAAGCAGAGAACGTTCAAAGGCGGTGCTGTCAGTCATTACTTGGCAGTAATTTCGAATTTTACTCAGGTAGAAGTCGTTTCTGGGGCGATTCCTTGTTTATCTCCCACGCCACTCCTAGTATCTTCGGTCTAGATGTCAACTTCAGTCCCTTCCGGGCATAGGACGGTGTCGAGCTGCTGCTTTTACTTTCATANCAGAATTCTCATCGGCTCCATTTGTGTTGCTTCCAAGAGGGGGAAAAAGAGACGAAGCAGAGAACGTTCAAAGGCGGTGCTGTCAGTCATTACTTAGCAGTAATCTAAAATTTTACTCAGGTAGAAGTCGTTCCTGTGGGCGATTCACTGTTTACCTCCCTGGCTACCCCCAGTACCTTCTGTCTACAAGTCAACTTCAGTCCACTTCGGGTATAGGACGGTGTCGAGCTGCTGCTTTTACTTTCATACGATTCATCGTCTTCGCCTCTTAATTATCTGTATACGACTGGACAAACTGGTTAAGAGAGAGTACTAGTCACCATGTGTGTCGTTTGTTGGTCGTCATCTGTCTATTTGTCTGCGTATGCCTGCGTATTCGTTTCTACCGTATACCATCTACCATTCATGCTTTTCATTTCTTCGGATTAATTATGACTTGTTTCTCTACTACATGCAAGCGAAAGCGAGGGGATACAAATGTGTTTCCCTACAGGATTCCTATACCTTTTTATCGTCCGACGATGTTCCGAATGTACAACCGGTGACTAGAAATCATGGACAGTTCTTTTGACTGACTCATGTCAACATTTAGTTCGTCGGAAAACGCTCTCTACTCCGTCGTTTCAATCGTCCTACGGTAGTGAACAGTTGGAGCCATTGCTAGGGGGTTTGCCTCCCGTCGGACAAGTCTAGGATCGTCTCCGAGGGGATCAGTAGCTATTAAATGGGCAAGTGCCCAAGCGTTCAGCTAGGGAGGAGGGTTCCATCCAATCAACTGAATTCGTACACATCACGGTAGCGACTTTTGTTGATTTAGTCATCGGCAATCGGCTGTGTCCTGATGCTTATCTATACTTTTAAACGAGCAAACGAGCCGTAGATTAGCCCCATTCTCATATTTATGAAGTCATTATTACAGTTGTCCTCCTTCGAGTAGTGATTTGTGACAGTTGTCGCTTCGTAAGAAATTCCCTGGGAAAAAGTGATTCACCCTTTCATTCATCAGCCGTGCATGAAACTTACCCAGTACCACCCTCCCACCTACGAACTCTTTCTGGGAATCTGCCCCTTCATGTAGGCTTTCTGAGAAGCCCCCGGTCAACTGCCACATAATGACCGTAATCCGCTTGTTGTTCGGTAGTGTACCAAAACAAAGGGCTATACTGTGTTTTTCAACTGAGCACTTATTGATTTGTGGCAGTTGACCGGCGTGAAAAACATAAGTTCCCTGTGGATGTGGACGGACTCGTATTCGTCCCGATCCCTGTCATGTGTACTTCATTGGGTAGGGAGGGGGACCACGGGAAGAACACCACATGGGGCAATAGTCTGTGTTGGGTCGGGTTGTTTATCGTTGTGTTATCTGTACGATTCCTGTTCCCGTCGCTAAAAACGGTTGAGTAGGTCGTGTCCTCTCGTTTTCTTCTCCCCCCGTTCGACCTGACTTGATAAATAGCTTCTTCTTGTAGATATATTTGGTCTATTCAAGAGCCATATACCGTATTCTCCGTTGGTTTGTAATTTCCTGAATACCCAGAAAACCTGAGTTACTGGCTACCATGTAAGTTAATGCTTGTTCTTGTTCCTCTAGAGCGTATATATCAACTTTGCTCAAATTCGGCCGGAAATATATGGGCACCGGGCGCGGACCCGTTCTCCAGCTGGGTATTGAGGCGCTTTTCATGGGCGTGTATACCCCCTTTGGTCTAAAGCCTGAGAACTTTTGGTGTGAAGCCATGTTCCTACTGCTGTAGTTGTCTTTCTGGTTGTTTGAAGGTATTCAAAGACGGTTTCCCAGAGGACCCAGAGCCCAAAGTCTTAAAGCTAAGTGGGAGACACTCTCAACTCCAGGATTCTTGGGTGCAGAACAAGATAGAGGTGTAGGTTCACCTAAAGGGCACTTGAATGGGCCACGAGAGCGGATGATCCTGAAAGGAGCCATTAATAGGTCCCACATTGTCGGATGCAGTATAAGATCACCAAATTGGTGCCACTCTCTTGAGACTTGCAGTAATTACTCTGAAAGGTTGGCAGGGCTGGGTAACTGTAGCTCATTATGGCTCTGGTTCGAAGTCGTTATCAGCTAGCCAGATTTATGATACTTGGCTATTGTTGACTGGCTGCGTGACCATGGCCGGACTATGGCCCTGGACGGTATCCTCCCTAACCAAGGACGTAGTGCACCGCATGTCACGGCCATCCAAGTAACCTTGTCGGCTGCAATATCCATTCTCGAAACAGATTTTGAATGTCATACGGGAAGGGACCGGACGGGAAAGGTATGAGGGACTTTTGTATATAGCCCATTAGTGTCCCTGTCCCATCTTATCGCCTACATACTAACCGGAACTTCCTTAAACTGGAACTGGAACGAAGTTCAACTTTTTGCTACGGGCCTCCCTGTTCACGATCTGATCGCTTTGGATCAAATTCAGTTTGCCAAGTCCACCACCATAAAGTCCTTGAAGTTTTTTTTCCTGTTCAGCTCTGAACTCCCATTGCTGTAGTTACTCCCCAAGAAACGACCTGAGAGTAGAAAATAGACGGGAATTTCTCGTCGTCTCAATCGATTCCTGGACCCATTTTGTCAAGGAATCGCCTGAATTTCATGTGACTTTCCCTGAACATCAATCGAAATTGAGCAATGTTCAGAGGCATTTTGTTCATTGGCATGGCAGCAGTATGGCCGGTTGCTGGCCAGATGTGTACATGCCAGTTGGTCGCTTGTTCACCAAGTCAATTTGATGGGTTCAAGTAGATAATCGGGCTTTTTCTGAGAAACACCCCTGCCGTCTTTGCCTCCACATCTTCCATGTTCCTCCTCATCGCTTCCTCACAATCCTACTTCTCTCTTTATCTTCATCCGTGAGGCTGTGGCTATTGAATGAGGTGGTAGAGTGACTGACTCGTGGTCTTGCTGTCAATGGCACCTGGCCCTTAAATTAGACCTTGAAACGGACCTCGTTCAATGCAATCAAACTCTTGAACTTTTCAAATCGGCTGCTTGGAGAAGAGGTTGCTACAAGGAATTTCCTTCCCTGTAAATATATTATATATACCCCTTGTAAATATAATAAATAGTAAATAATTATGGACAGAAGCACTGGCCTGACCTCTCGCGAATGGTCGAAAGGGGATACCCATTCAATCACTTCTACAGGCTCTTGTCGGTTTATTTTTGAAGCAGTCATCATCAATTACAAACAAATATCACTTATTGGCAAGTAAATACACAATTACTAGGCTGGGGTGTCCGGTAAACCTTCGCTGACCTGGCTGGCACTGGACTTCTTTCTACAGTACCTCTTCTTGTTTTGTAGTCGAATTGGTTCCATGGGTATGGATAGTAGCCTTGAACAGGTCCAGTGTCCTTTAGTGATCTCCCTCATGCAGTTGGAATATAAGAGTAGCACTAATTAATTGCCATAATGGAGCGGTAAAGGGATTATGGTAGGAGTTTCAATCCAGACCATGAATTTTGGTCCCTATAAGCCGGAATACAATAGGAGTTCAGTCTGATACGCCTTCAATACGCTCCCACGATCATCATCTGTTCACGTTGTGACAGTTTCTACTAACATGCCATTCATCATTGGACACCCCTCTCCCTTCCTCTTTGTCCGTGCTTGTTCCTGCTCATTGAATGGTTAGTCCGATCTGCCGTTCCTTCTGCACTGGGCTTACTGTGGACCTAGTTTTGATTCCGACCCTCACTACTGATCCCCAGGGCAATCCAAATAGGCCTACTTGTCCAGGAACTAATGCGGATTTCAGATGCAGGGTAACCAGCTGCATAAGACAGATGACACCACCTTCTATCTTAATTGTTTCGCCATCTTTATTCATTCGAGCAATTGCATAACTGCAAATGATGCATAAATAACGCCCAGCGTCTTGACAGAATGAACCTCACTGTTTTCGATTTTTTCTAAAGCATAAGCTCAGGTTCTTATCCTAAAAATCCGTCCCCATCTTTCAATACAAATTGAAATTCACATAATCCCGTAATTGACGTTTCCTGGTGAGTCGATGTGCAATTGCGGACGAAACACGCGAACCGTTCGTAACAGTTCTGGCATACTCCACCGATTCTGAGAGCCATTTTTTCGATGAAATACCTTATAGCTTTCTACAGCACTTATTGTTTTCGATTGAATAACCCACTTCTTTATTCATTAATCACATTTATTGTAACAAAATTCTAGAATTGACTTGGACAATTGCTTTAGTAACAGGATGTTTTTGATTCAAAACTTCCAGTAGTAGACCGGTTTTTCTTGAGATTTTCTTGGAGAAGCTTTTTTTGGCATGCTGATTGTACTTTTTAAGTGGCTGTCTTATCATCCTTTTCAAATGGGCTGTCTCTGAAAGATAACCATAACTTTAAATGAGCAAGACTAATAAAAACAGCATCGTTAAATTTAAACGTTGTTCATGGTAGTCATTTGGAACGGAATTTTCCTGGCAATTGGTGAATATTCAGATTTTGAACATAAATAATTGCTTAATGATGAATTCCTTTTTGGCTTGCGATTCGATTAGTCGGCTTTAGTTGCGTGTCTTCGTCTACAGAATATCGTGGTGCACTTGACTTCTGATCTGCTAAGTAGGGTGAATTCACATTCCCTTTGTCTCGTTCATTGCATTCCTCACTTTGTATAACTGTTCCTCATCAGGACGAGTTGTTTTTGGCCAATCTTTTTCATTATCGATTAGCAAAAGTACAATCTGAAGCTCCCTTTCACAAGTATTCTACTTTTTTTCCTTTTGACCACCACCTCCCGCTTAAACCGAGCCATATCTACTTCGATCTCTTCCTCTTTCGTGCATCGACTCATAATGTTCTTTTTTTCAGTTACCGTTGACGATAAGCCAAAATTGCCATTTGGTGCTGGAACGGATCGTGTTCCTGAACTAAAAGAGACGACGGTGGCGACGATGGTAGATGACGGATCGGCTCAAGACGAGTCAGTAAGTGGTGGTCCAGGCCAAGGTCTGCCAGCTACATCGCAGCCTCAGGCTACACGTCCACACAGCCCTCTGCCCTCACCATCACATGGACATCCTGATCCACTTATGCCGGTTGCCGAGAACTGGTGCCATACTCAGGTTCGTCTTCCTTATGCTGTCTTATTGATTTAGACGGATTGCACTTGCTTTTTATGTTCTGTGCCCTTGGGTGAAGCTATTTGAAGTTTGAAAGTGACTTCAATGTTTGATTTACTCACCCCTTCTGATGAGTAGCATTTTGGGTAATAGCAGTTGATAAGATTGGCGAGCAGTTCAACTTATAATGGAGTATGTCCCTTCCTAGGTGGGAGTATAAAACCAAGGGCATTGGTTAGCTGTGTTGTGTGACCTTGTTTATACAGCCAAGTAAATAGCCCCACTTCGTCGACGTAATGTTTACTTATTATCGAATACTGTAGTTTCCGTATGCAGTCAATTCATTCGGTCATGGAACCAAAAATTGCCCCGAAAAGAAACTGGGACAAGGCCACAGATTTGTGGGGAAGTAGAGCGAGTGACAGTGAGGTTGACGGTGACTATGCTACCCGCAATCACTTTGGATTGGTATTTGACCCTATTTTCGCAACAGTTTTACAGCGCGGTGCCATAGAGAAAAAAAGAGAAGCAGATTGAAGGCCCGGTCTACACGGGCGATTTTAGCGGGTTATTTTGTGGAAGTGCACAGTTATCGTTATAAGACCGCAGTAAGTCTAAAAAGAAGGTTGACTTTTAATGCAGCAAAGTAGAATGAGGCAAAAAGAAGCCTCAAAGCTCATGACTTTAGGTTGCTATAGTGAGGGTGCTGAAAGAACCTTTTGAATGGTTGTAATTTTCAGGTGAAAGTCGTCAAATTCAACTATATGTGGACAATAAACAATTTTTCATTTTGTCGAGAGGAAATGGGAGAGGTGAGTCTGTGCGTCGCCGATTTCCACATAGTCCATTTAATTCATCGTACATGAAATGAAGGACACATTTTATCGTACGTAATCGGATTTGACGTTAAGTGCACTTTCCAGGGAACATTTAGCAAAATAAAAAAGGATTCGTAAGCTGGTAGAGCAGGATTAGAGCTTACTTGAGGGTAAAGCCGTAAAATCCTTCTACATAGACATAGTTAGAAGTTTTGAGCAGTTTTGCACTTTAAAGAGTTTTCAAGCCGTAAGAGAACAAAGCGACATTTTTCTGTCAACATGTGTACATACATGCATATTTTTTTAAAGTAAATAATTATTTGCTGAGAAAATTAAGATTCCATATTGAATTTTCCACATACTGCAAGGTTCATTAGCTCCATTCAATACGTTTCATTACATATATTTTTCTGTTCTTTTTTTGAGTTTTGTCAATAGGCGGCTTTCCGAAAGTCAAGTTCTTCCCTCAGAAAGATGAAACCTTTGGAATATGCTCGCCAATTTTTCTGGAGAGGGCTTCTTTCGGGAAGTTTCCTTTTATGATGTCAGGGTGGGGATCGGACTTCTTACATACGTTAAGTTTCAATTGAAATTTGTATTCACTTTTGTAGGACCTGAGCAACTGTTACAATATTGAACCTTCTCCTCTTTATTCTCAACTTTGAGAGCGATGTTGAAGTTGTATAGATGCCTATTTTTGATAGTTTACCTGTACGGATTGTTGCAAAAAGAAATTAGAAGCCACAATAATATCTAGCGAGGTCTCACGCTAAATTTGAAAAAGAATGGGCAATCAGCTGACATGTTAAAGGCCTTTTTAGAGCGTTATGGCTTTTTCAGGGGCATTTAGGGGTGACCCGAGGGTCCCAGGTTTAGTTTCCTATAACATATAGATTTTTTAAACCCACTAATGCAAATGAACTTTGATCCGCTCCAACTAGTTTTGATGACAGGCAGCAAAAAATTGAAGTAGAACTGAATGTCTTCGTTTGATCGAACAGCTGTGCAGCTTTATTGATTCTTTTGCAAGTTCGCATTTGTGCTGATTCATACCAGTTCTCAATTATATATGTATTTATTTGAATGTATTCTTATTTGCAAAGCAGTTTGATTGCTGTAAAAAAACACAGGCCAGGGTTATTGCCCTGCTCTGTCACATTTGAATTCGCTTCAAGATTTCTTACTTGTTTTTGTTATCACTAGTTGTGGTAGATAACATAAAGTACGTCTGCACTTTTTTCCAGGTACTCAAATCATCGACATTTTCGGCTGGTGCAAGTGATAAACTAAAATGGTGTCTACGGATAAATCCAAAAGGATTGGACGAAGAATCAAGAGACTATCTGTCCCTATATCTTTTACTCGTTCAATGTGCCAAAAGTGAAGTTCGTGCCAAATTCAAGTTCTCCATATTGAACGCGAAAAGAGAAGAAACCAAAGCAATGGGTGAGCTTTTGCTTGTCTTTTAGGTTGATCGACTAGTCACTCCTCTGGGGCGGGCGGAGCCGTGCGTTCATTCGTATATGGTCATTTTATGTCCACGGCTCATTAATAGAAATGGATTTGAAAAACCATGGCCGGATGCCAGCAGTTGCGTGGCGTAGCTTTATGGCTTTATAGTGGACAATTAAAATGTAGAGCAGGGTAATCGGGGATTATAGGGGCCGACTGGATTTGTTTTGTTTGCTGCAGCTTTTTTAATGATCCCGAGTTGTGCTAAAAAGTTGACGAATTGTTCGGTCTCAGTCAGAACTCGAACCTGGGCCACTGCTTATGGGACACTTGTGCTCAAGGATGTTCCCACTACAACTTACTTCTCACGCCTTTTTTGAATCCTCTTCACTCAGGCGACAGGGGCGCAATGTAGTTTCACTAGGATTTCTTGAGAATATTCGAAGTAATAAAGTCGTAGAAAAGATTTACATATGTCCTTCACTTCGGTCACCTTCAAATGGCAAGGTTGACAGGGTTTTTCTAATAGATCGCGATCTTTATCTATAATTGGAACAAGGCCAACAGTTGTCCTTCAATCGGACGAAAGTCCCATGGTCATAGAGCTCTGCGGTCGTCCTTTGCAAGGACATATCAGTGTTAAACAGTTACTCGGGGCACCGTGATTTATAACAAAATCAAGTTGAATTTCGAACACTTATGGGGAGGTTTCAATAGGAATTCCTCCTTTGTTCTTATTCGGGTATGACTGATATGCTCAGCTAAATGCCCAAATGCCAAATTAGCAACAAAGTGGCAATTGATTGGATGAAAACTCATTCCAGAGTCTCAACGAGCATATCGATTCGTGCAAGGCAAGGATTGGGGATTCAAGAAGTTTATTCGAAGAGATTTCTTGCTTGACGAATCCAACGGCCTTCTGCCAGATGACCGGCTAAGTATATTCTGTGAAGTGAGTTCTTTTGAGGCTGATTGTGGAATTCATAAGATATGATGAGCTTTCGATGAAATCGGTTATCGATAAATTATAATGTTGGGGAACATGGTGATTTTGGGATGGTTTGTGTGGTGAGATAGTTGATGCAGATGGTATTTCTCAGAATTCAGTCTTCCTCATACTTTTTTCTGGCCGTCGGATTTGATATATTGCGTTCTTGGAAAATGAAGATGTAGGATAGAGCCGTCTAATATATTACATCAAATGTGTTATGCCATGCCGTTCGTAAATTATTCGCGAAAGCTGTAACAAAACCCAAGGTGATTTGCTTGGCCTTGTCTCGAGGTTACTTAGCCGAGCACGCACATCATAGGTCTGACCGTCAAAACCACATGACTGTAAACTACGTCCGCCAAAGCACTGAAAAATCTCATTTTCTGAAGAACCTTGAAAGCGGTCGTCGAGTATGAAGGTCTCCATAGACGAACATTGTTCAGTTTTTATATGTGGCACGTCTTTTGGAGCCTTCAGGAGTACTTTTCATTTGACATTTTTGATGGGAAATGATGGATGAATTGAATGTATAATGGTTCACGAAGACTCCATCATACACCTACAATGATGAACCTCGGGGGAGGGGGGCAAAAATTCACTGAAATCAATATGACCGTGGTCTGGAGTAAGGTTGAGGAGTGACTACAAAATCAAATAAACTTTGGTAGAAGTTTTGTATTACCGAGGAAGTTAAAACGGTGACAAACATAGCGAGGTAGCTCTGTTCATCGATTTCTCTGTTTGTTATCTTTTCTTCAATTTTTTATTTATTCACTTGCACGCCGGGGGCGTCATCGACATAGGCAGGGTGCAAAAAAAGAAACAAACAACGTCTGAGCGAGAAAATATGTACAAAACCCGAGAGAAAAATGGGAAAACCCTTTGAAAAGGGGTCAAACCTATGTAGATAGGTAGTGTTAAGCACCAAACACAACGTCGTTATAATATAAACAATCGTTAATATGCTCTTTCTAGGACAGTGGTATAGCGAAATTGATATTTGTGCTCACATAATAGCCGTTATCAAAGAAATTGCCCCGATCGTGACGAGGAAATAGCAAGTATAATGCAAATCATCCAGAGACGACATAAAGCGCTTCTGGAGATGAAATGAAGATAACAAAAATAGCGTAGCGCCTTATTTGCCTGTACCCGTCCCTTTTTTAAACTTTTTAGTCCATCCCCGGAAAACGGGAGGCGAAAGGGTAGCTCCACTACGAACAGACCATATTAAGGTGGTTGCAGTGAGCTCGTAGTTCCTCGAACCTCAGCTGATCACGAATGATCTAACAAGTTTCAACTGATTCTTCCTGGATAAATCGTGTTCATTACGGTACTGATTAGGACCCCTATAAAAGAACGTTCTGACGTGGTGATGCTCCTCATTTGTTGTTAGAACGATTCCTCGATGATCGCATGGTCGTCGGCCCCTGTGNTTGCCCTACCGGCGTTTCAGCAGCATTGCTGGTACCATGTCCCATCATGGCCGACAGTGGCCTGTCCGCACTTTGTCAGCATCACTCATCATCTACCAGCTTTCCTCGTCTCCAACACCCAAACTGCCCCTGCCACCATCACGCCTCCACCTCGTTTCTATCGCCACTGTAACGGCTACTTTCCGATCAGCACTTCTTTGCGTTTGCCCAGACCACTAATTAAAAAACGAACCAAGTATAAATGGTATCACTTCACTCCTCGTCGTGAGCAACAGGAGGTGGTTCCTGAAGTGAAGAAAGTACGGTAGTCGTAGGAATTGGTCTGCGCGTCAGTTTGTCATCAATACTCTCTCTGTTCAGGTATCGGTGGTTGCTGAGACAGTCAACGTCACTGGGCAGACTAGTGCTCAACAATTTAAGGTACGGTTTGAAAAAGCTGGCTCAAATGTTCTGGTCGATGTGATCATCCTTCCTTTTTCAGGTCCCTCCTTGCCGACTATCCGAAGATCTTTCGGCACTTTTTGAAAGCAAGCAATTCAGTGATTGTACGTTGGTGGCAACATGTAAAACTAACGGCCCTCAAACATTCCATGTAAGTTTTTCACGGGTTTTGGTAGTTTGCGCTTCATCTCGCAGAAGTTCGTTTTGAGCGCGTAAAATCGATATTCGTTGTAGTGAACATACAAGGCGAGTGGTATTGATTCACGCGCTTAAAAAGGCTGAACCGGTTCAATGAAGTTATTGATTCTTTCTTCTTTTTTTGATTGTACTACGCACATTTTCTCTAACGATTCGGCACATTACTATTTATGGAACTACTTTTCCCCCCATACATTTTCGAAACTGCACAGAAAAAAGGCAATATCCCGAAGCAGTATAGTAGTGAAAGTTCCGTATATGGCATAGTTGGCCGCAGTTTGAATTTTCAATGATTTCAGGTGCATAAGGCGATTCTAGCGGCACGATCGCGCGTTTTCCATGCAATGTTCGAGCACAATATGACGGAATCGGAGCGGAATGAGGTCGCAATCGACGATGTCGAACCCGATGTGAGTGCAAAATTAAATTCAATGCCGCCGGCTTTTGTTGTTGGTATCGTAAGGGTTTATGAGGCAGACTGGTTTGAAGGACATCCACTTCATTTTGATAATGTTTTAAATAATGCCCTTGACGAAAATGATCCTAATCGAGTCGTTCCTTGCAAGCTTCGAAAAAGTCCTAATTTGGGTGGATTGGAAGTGCATCCTAAGCCTGCAATGGAATTGGTTTGACTGATTCAATCAAGAAGGGGAATGACATCTGTCTTGTTGGTTCAGAATGTTGCTTACCGTCAGCAGTTCAGACAAGCTTGAGCGCGATGAAGAGGGGAGCGGTGGGCATCATAGACATTCGTTTGCTGATCCTTTCTTTACTGTTCTCATTCGTCTCTGTAGACCAGTTTTCCGAATTTTTCGAAACCCTTCAAAATTATGGTGGCTACCGATTCGTGAGATCGAAGTCCAATTTTTAGCAATCGGCGAATGAATAGGCATATATTCCATCGATCAGCAAACTGTAAAATCAGGTGGAGTTCATTCTTTGTCCATATTTTATTCATGATCGATCAACCCATCGGCGTATCATCCATCCATCATGTGGGGGTTTATGTGATGTGACTAGGAGATAGCTCAGAAATCAATCTAAGCGGCAAGGTTCCAGTAAAGTGCGATGAACCCTTGATCAATATCCATATTTTCTGACTCCAGCCACCAAATCTAGTTTCAAAGGGTCGTTGCGCGCATTACGGTAACGCGGACTTAGTGTGCAATTAGTCAAAAGTGTCCTTCATCAAATCATGCCGCCCACAAGTTGCAATTGTGGTGTGAATCGGATCGGGACAGTTATGCACTCCCTCCAAATGGGGTGATTTACTGTGAACAATGTCTTAACGGTGTTCATAGGATCTGTTGAGCCAATTGGGAATACGGAGTGAAGTTTGGGTTGATACTGACGTCCCTACCACGGTCCAGTCAGTCTGGGCCTATAAGAGGGGCCCAGGAACAAGTTGTGGGTCTTTCCACGAGTTGTGTCGAATGTCAGTCAAACTGGCCTTCATATTCAAAGCCTAATGTGGAGGTGGATATTATCGTAGAATTCTTTATGGCGTCTAGAACGTTCCATGGTAAACGCTCTTTGCAATAGCCATTTCACACAGTGAATGGTATGCAAAGAATGGTGCGAAAAGCATGAAACTGAACGGCTGGCGCTGCTGTTTTTTGCTGTGAGATATGTTGACAGCGGCGGAGCAGAAAGAGAGACGGCTCGAATGGCGGCTCTTTTGCGAGAGGGACGAATGATCCAGGAATCTAGTTAGCTGGTTCTCTATAGAACAATTTTTCTGAGGGTACGGTAGCCACAAGTTCAATATTACACAAGCTGCGGAATTAAACTAAAGGAAATGATTAGTCAGATTAATGAACCAGATTAATACACCACCGTGGTAAGATCTAAAACCTGTCAGCTGTGACCCTTTAATGGCCCGAAACTGTTTCGACTTATGGACAACTTTAGTAACGTCGGAATTAACCAAGCCTCGTTCCGTATTCCCGGCTAAGGGTGGTCAGCCGATGTTGAGTATCAGTTAGGAACCACGTAGAAGGTGGAGAGCCTCGTTGGCGTTGGCGAGTGTCGATCCCTGATTCGATTTCCGAATCAACCATTCTATCCTCCGGGATCTGCGTGTGTGATAGCGCCAGTTGCCATCTCCACCCTAATGGGTAATGTTATAATTGGTGTTTCAGGTACTCCGAGAGATGCTATGCTTTATGTATACGGGAAGTTCACCAAGTGTTGATCAAATGGCTCAACATCTTATCGCCGCCGCTGATAAATATCATTTGGATCGTTTAAAAGTTAGTTCGGTTGCGGCCACTATTTGGATAATTCATTGCAGCTGTTCGACTGTTCATAAAGTCCATTCAATCCATTATTGTAGGTGATGTGTGAACAGGCATTATGTGCAGCGCTAACGGCCGAGAATGCTTGTGTGACGTTGGTGCTGGCTGACCTTTACTCGGCCGAACAACTTCGAACACACGCTATCAATTTTATCAATGTAAATGCAACAGAAGTAAGATATTTCTATCGATGTTGTTTTTTTCTACTTTTGCTTAAATACCTCAATAAGGCTCCGGTAGTAATTGCTTGTATCGTAACTTTCGAGCGTGTATCTCGAGTTCGAGTGGAGTGGGGGCGGTTATACTTGATTATTTGGGATGATGATGCGATAATTGGGTTCAAGATCCATAATGGGTGTGATTTCGTGTATTTTAGAGGAATTTCTGTTTGTATTGCGATGTTACCTCCTTTACCCATTCACGGGATCTCTGCTTTTTTTGGAAAATGGGTGAACAGCGAATCAGTCTGGTGTGAAATTTTAGTAGGGTCATGTTAGGGAGGCTACCTTCTGTTAGTCAATCTTTGTACTGGGAACTGTGACTGATCAAAGTTTTAAGAATAACAGTCTGGTGCCTCGTATTAAGTAGGTAGGTAATTGGGGCCACATGTAAGGGAAGCCACGCCGAGTCGCTGATTTGAATGTATGCGGTTCAATGATCATTCCAATAGCCATTCACGTCCCCTCAGCCGAGTCTCGAGGTTCCTAATGAACTGTAGATAGTCTTAAACTAGGCTTACAACTTCTCATTCTCACTGTTTCAGGTAATGAATTCGGAAGGTTGGAAGGATTTGGTGAAAGAGCACCCGACATTGTTAGCCGAGGTGTTCAAGGCTCTTGCCACTCAGCAAACACCACCTGTGGTGCTAGCTGCTCCGCCAAAGAAGCGGATCAAGCACTGTCCATACTGAGCAATCGTCCCCGACGCATCCATCAACCGTCTTCCACTTATCCCCCTTTCCATCCCAGTTCGATCTTCAATCGCGTGTGCGTTGAACAATTTGCTTACGTTGGTTTGTTCATTTTCGTCGTTGTTCGTTTTCTTTTGTCTTTTCGTTATCCAAATTTGCTTATTTGTTCGTATACCATTGTCGATCGTTCCATTTCCATCTTCTGTTCGCGCAAGTGACACAGTGCCTCATAATATTTCATTTTCAATGGGAAAAACAACCCTTCCATATTCATTCATTTTCATCTTTATTCATTTTCATTGCATGAAATTATTCGATCTTTCGAAGCCAGCCTTCCGCAGTACACAGGCGGCACCTCAGTTTTAGCTCATAGGATTTATTTTATCAGCCGTTATCAATTTGTTTAATGTTCAGGTATTGATGTTTTCATTTGCTAGCCTAGCGCGTATTCTAAGGTTATCCCTTCCTATTTACTATGTCTCTGTGTGTGTCTGCGTGCGCTTGGCTGTTGCGTCTTGGAGTTATTCGCGAATGTCAATTTTGATCATTCATCGTCTGCGGGTGTTTATAATCAATTTTCGTTCTGTAATATTTCATGGAAAAATTGCATAACCCGGTAGATTCGGGCCGGTCATCGTTTGGTATACGTAGCCTATGGCATACGTATACCATCCGTGGCCGTCAATCAATGCGAAAGTAGCTTTGCTATATCAAAGTGAAAACAAATAAAGTGTTTCATACATCATGTGTTCTTTTCATCTTAAGGTGTAATCCCTTTATTCGAAAATATTAGCCACACAGAAGGGTTTCCATTGGCTTTTCCCAAGCCTTTTTTAACGCGAGTAGTGAAAGACAGTGAGCAACATAGCCGTTTGAGCGCTGCTCGTTCGTGGACCATTCATTTTTGTTGACCTTCTGTCCTCCGTAGTTTCTAATCGAATTTTCGACCTCAAAGTGATGGAGGGGTATGTCGTGCGAGCATCCGTCCGCGTACTGAATCCTGTTCCATGTGTGTGNTGTGTGTGATAAAGCTTCACACGCCTTCAGCCTTCCCTTAATGTTTGCGATTGTCTCAAGTAAATATGTGTTGAAAAAATCGATCATAATGTTTGTTGGAGACAGTACACGCTGAAGTTTGATAAGGTCGACTGTGGAGGAACTGCTGCATAATTGTCTCTACAGGGAGTTTGGTTTTTCCGATTGCCCCATGCTGTGACAGGGTTTTCGGTTCTGCAGATTTTCCTTATCTATAGACGGCTCATTCCTAGGAGCTCGTCTCGTAGGCATTGGAAATTTCACCACGAATTCGATTATCAGCATGGGAAGAGGTTCCACCATGTTAGAAGGTTTGAACCGTCAACAAAAAGATTGCGTTGAGCCCTCGTATTTTTCTGATACTTCATTTCCAATAGTTCAGTAGTGGCTGATTCGTGCTTCTCACAAGGTGAGTGGCATGCATCTGTGGGGACAAGTCTTTTTTCTAAAATCGGAGATAAAAGTTGGATGTACAACATCTGCTAAATGCTGTGGGACAGACGATCTTGTGTTCGGCATTAGGATGACGATAGTAATCAACTGGTTGCACCAGTGTAATCATACTTCTAAGTTTGCGAAGGTGGTGGCCACTTCTAGAAGCGGTTGACAGGGGGACGCAAAACTTTCCGAAAATAGTACAGACTTAGCAAGAATTGCTCTGCCGGGTACGGTTTTGCGGATGGTCCTACAGCCCCCCCCCCTTCAACACCCCAGAATACTTTCCACCACGCCTGTTCCATTTTTTGAGATATATTATAGATTGTTGAGATATATATTGAGATTTGAGAATTGATAGAGAAGGTGCTTTAAGGGCAGAATCAAAAAATTTTCATACATTCAGGCTAAGTATTCCGTTTTAAAACGCTATTCCAAAATCCCTTGAAGGCATGTCATCAATATGTTCATCATGCCATCATCCTTGTTCCAGTGATCTTCTCGGTCAAATGGCAAAGATCCATGCCCATTCTCAGTGTTCCACCATCAGCTGTCGGCATGGTGGTGCCGCTGTCGGCATACTAGTGCAGATGCCGGCATACTGGTCCAGGAACAGTAGGAGATTGTTGGAAGAAGGAAACAAGGACAAGGAAACCTAAAAACAGAAAAGATGGTATTCGCTTGTTCTCGCGTACATCTTCTGATTGTTCCCATCCTCTTACCAACTTCACCTTCTCGTGCCCTTCAATACCTTCCTCCGTTCAGGTTCCCTCTTCTTCACCTACTCTAAACAAAATCAAGGGAACCCGTCTTCTTCAACCATCGACTGCCATTCCTATGATGTAGCCATTGATCCTCATTTTGTTCCTGGCTGCAGGGTGGTAGCCCAGAGTTTATGCCGTCGAAATGGGCGTACAGTAACCAGCAAGTGAGTTGTCGTTATGATTTTGACCACATCCACCTTG